TGATGCCAGTGTTCTTGGTCCATCACGCTGTGGAGGGGGGTCAGGGTAGGAAGATAACTCCTCTAACGATGTCGCCTGATGTTTGTCACCGCTGGTGCTGCGGATGACAATCCTGCCATCCGGAGTCCAGGCTCCAGGTATGAGACCACGTCTCTTGAGGAAACGGGCCTTAGTGAGCACGACAGACCTGGCTTTGGTTAAGGCTTCATTAATGAAAAGTTTGGATGCAGTGTGAGACTTCTCGGGTGTAGATGATGATGGGCCTATAGGTTTGGGGAAGAGTGAAAAACGTGCGTCATACACACTTGCCCTGGTCCTGTACGACAGGAAACGCACTATAATGTCCCTCGGATAAGATTTATTGGCAGGGCCTACACGGTGTGATCGACTTATGTCTGATTCAGTTATCATTATTCCGAGAGTGTCATTACAGGTATCTATGATGAGTTTGTCAGTATCCTCATGTTGGGACTCTCGGATACCCCTAAACTTAAGGCAGTTTCGGCGTGAGTACTGTTCCATATCATCTAATCGATGTTCTAGAGACTTAATTTGCTGGTGAAGGGCAGTAATACCAAGACTTGCAATGAGGGTATCTTTGAACAAAGAGTTCGACATCAATTGGGACACAACTCCCTGTACTATATTTGGGTCCCTTAGCTCACTGATAGCTTGGACTCCCTTTTTAACTTTATTCAACAGCTGACATTTTAATATCTGATCACTGCTCAATGCACTGAGACGTGCACGTATATTATATATCTGTATAAATGTATATATCACAACGGCGAGAGAATAACGAACAAGTATATGTAGACAAAGGAAAATGGCCGGAGTTGTGGTCAGTGAATACAGTGGACAATATTCAAAAGTCAGATAGAGTCACATCAGCATACAATAAAGGCTTAATATTCTGTCTTATGGATCACATGCTACTTATCTTGGTAAAGAATGACAGTTCACATCTTAGTTGACGGGAGATCCATGGTAATAGAGAAAATTTTGACCAACGGTCAGCGTACTTGTTTTGGTCACACCGGAACCGGACAGAGAGGGTGTTCAAAAATTGTCGAAATTTCTTCAGAGTTCTTCACCTTTGTTTCCACTTCCCGAGTAACCAGTGTCACAGATCAGATTGTTACCCTGATTTGAAGAAACTACTAAAAATGTACAACATGAGGTAAGAAGTGTTGATGAAGTTTTCGCTTGATAGCTTGACGAAACAGCGGTAAAACCATGCTGATATGTATTTCTTTGAAATTTAATAATCTAATACAAACGAGGGCGGTCCGTATCATTATCATTGAAAAGTCTTCTCATTAGCTATTCGTAAGGAGAATATCTGGGTTATATATCTAAAACAACGATGGAGTAAGATTGCCAATATTGTAATTTATATAAAATGGCAAATCTTATAAGAATGTAAAATGCGTTAATGTATTAGGATGTTTATATAAATTACGTAAATCTAAAGTTGTATCTAATAATTGATTGGTTTATTGGTTACATGGGATTGCCGTATGTATTACTAATAATTCTCTTCCTACAGAAGTGCGACAATTAAACCATTTACTTTTTTCTATTTTCTTTTGACGTGACACAGACGTTAAATGATACAACTTGTGTCCTATTCTAATTTAATGCGTCGATGATAACAGTATTTTTTTACAGTTAATTTAAAGTTCGAATTGGGTATATTTTGCGCGATGTACGTTGAATTGGATTTCAATGCTATGGCTAAGCAAATATCTTGAAACCGGGGGACCAGTTTACAATGTACTTTTATCACTCTCTTATTCACTATTTTTTTGTTTTTTGTTTTTTGTTTTTTTTTTTTTTTTGTTTTTTGTTTTGTTTTGTTTTATTATGTTACAAGCTGTTAATGTAAATTAAACCTTTTAATTTCAAATAACGAAGTTGTATACACAGAACTGCATTTCATCTTGGTTTCGCAGCTAGTCTCGTTCATCCAGCTGCTTGTTGACTTTATCAAATATCTGATGTTGAGTATCTATAGTGTATAGTTTGTTTTAGAATTTTCGTAATGTGTTTAGAACTATACACGGACAAGTACAGTTCATCTATATCCGTTTTGTTGAATTGAATTATCTGATCTGCATTTATGTTGTTTATAGACAAAGTAAAATTGTATTTTGATCTTAGAGGGAAGGAGTGTGAGAGAACAGATGATCTTATGGGGAAGGAGTGTGAGAGAACAGATGATCTTAGGGGGAAGGAGTGTGAGAGAACAGATGATCTTAGGGGGAAGGAGTGTGAGAGAACAGATGATCTTATGGGGAAGGAGTGTGAGAGAACAGATGATATTAGGGGGAAGGAGTGTGAGAGAACAGATGATCTTAGGGTGAAGGAGTGTGAGAGAACAGATGATCTTAGGGTGAAGGAGTGTGAGAGAACAGATGACCTTATGGGGAAGGAGTGTGAGAGAACAGATGACCTTATGGGGAAGGAGTGTGAGAGAACAGATGATCTTAGGGGGGAGGAGTGTGAGAGATCAGATGATCCTGAGGGAAGGAGTGTGAGAGATCAGATGATCTTGGGGGAAGGAGTGTGAGAGAACAGATGATCTTAGGGGGAAGGAGTGTGAGAGAACAGATGATCTTAGGGGGAAGGTGTGTGAGAAAACAGATGATCTTAGGGGAAGGAGTGTGAGAGAACAGATGATCTTAGGGGAAGGAGTGTGAGAGAAAAGATGATATTAGGGGGAAGGTGTGTGAGAGAACAGACGATCTTGGGGGATGGAGTGTTAGAGAACAGATGATCTTAGGGGGAATGAGTGTCAGAGAACAGATGATCTTAGGGGGAAGGAGTGTGAGAGAACAGATGATCATAGGGGAAGGAGTGTGAGAGAACAGATGATATTAGGGGGAAGGTGTGTGAGAGAACTGATGATCTTAGGGGGAAGGAGTGTGAGAGAACATATGATCTTAGGGGGAAGGAGTGTGAGAGAACAAATGATCTTGGGGGAAAGAGTGTGAGAGAACAGATGATCTTAGGGGGAAGGAGTGTGAAAGATCAGATGATCTGAGGGGGAAGGAATGTAGGAGAACAGATGATCTTAGGGGGAAGGAGTGTGGGAGAACAAGTTATTTACTTCTCATTTGGTTATCACTGATATAGCAGGATATTGCTGTTTTATATCTGAATATATTTTTGGTAGGATAGACCTTGTCTTCAGCGCATGCGTCTTGTTGATTTTCGGTTGATCGTTTTACTATATAGAGTAACACTCATTAAGGAGGGTATAAAATAGCTCCCCTCACGTCACCAGAGAATTGACTCACGATTGGACAATGCCCGGCGACGGGGAAGAGTCACGGAGACGAGAAACCATAATCATCATTGAATTCAGTATCATGAAAGGATCGGTGAACCGATCCACTCCTCTTGGTGAGGATAAAACTGTGATGGCGCTGTTAACAGTACCCAGTATTGGTACACGACCTCACATATATAGAGAGTGCTATAGTAACCATAGGATATGTATTACCAGGGGATAGTGAAGAGCTAAGGGCATCTATAGGAAACCTGTATATGGCCATCTGGTATCACTGTTAGGTAGCATTGCACACATACACTATCGACAAGAGTTTAGCTTGTTTGCATTGAGATACTGTAATGTATCTGAGTTAATTAGCGTTAGTTGTCAATAGTCGGCACTCATGTTATGATTCTACATATTTATACCAGTACTGTATATATTCATTATGTTCTGTTAATAAATTGTTAATTGTATATATTGTAACACCTTGTTGAGTAATTGTGTGCTTCCGCTACATCCTAATGGTCGAACCTGGGTATGAAAGGCCTGTAACCTTGAAGGGGAGGTCCAGAGGGGACTGTTGTGACGGCTGGTGACTCCCGTACCGAAGACGAAAAGCTATACAATCACGATTTGGAAGTAATGCGAGTTCCGACCGGTCGCTGCCTTCACTGGACCTACTTTGCTCACACGTGGTGTGTGTGGCTGCTGTTAAATAGGAGAAGTGACCCTAAGCTTTTAAGTCTTTTAAGTCTTTAAAGAGTTTATGTCGAGCTCTTCGACCTTCTGACAATGTATTTATCAATTTTGATAGTTTGTCTAATGGATATCGATGCTCACTGACACGGTCTAAAGTCGTGGTTAGACAGAATTATATGGAGACTTCGGCTTTTTGTATAACTGCAGAGTTTAAGAAATACGACACAGCTGTATGACGTATTTTATCGTGTCACTTAGTTCTGCCGCATCTTATTCAAAAATTTATATTGAAATGGGGCTAGTTACATTTGTGTCTTTTGTAGGTTGTTGTCCCCCAGACATGTTTTGTTTTAGATAGATAATGAATTAGTCCAATGAATCCCTTGTTTTCAGATCACTATATCATTACAATGTATGACGACACTGTACAATCATGGGATAATAGGTGATAAAAATTATTTTCAATACGTAAAAGACTGCCATTATAAAACAGGTTTTAAGAATATTTGCATTATTCTGCATTGAACGGTTTTATTTATATTATCTTTAAAGACAGGTTCTATTCATTTTCGTCCGTTTTTTCATTTCAATATATGTAGAGAAGGAAGATACCTTTGCTTTACTTCTTGAGTAGGAATTCTCCAATGAGGAAGAAAAACGTTTTGAAAGAAAGAAACATAATGAAAATGGAAGATGAGTGAACAGTTTGAGCGTTTGTAGGATCGAGCGAATTGACTTCAAGAGCTGAAACCCAAAACATTCTTGATAATTGCAGAAAAAGTGAACACTGGTAATCTTGCAATGTACTTATCACAAAATAATAACACAACTCAGTATAGGAATGGTTATCGCTTAGGTAATTTTATTATGTACAGAGTTTGTATCTGATTAAAAATTTGAGCCAGTATTTTTTCAATCTTACTGATATTCACATACTTATTTCCCACTATGTACACCAACTTTAAGGTAACTACTTGATTATGAGTAGTATATACAATGTATAATTATGAACGTGCGCAAATTAAATCTTTTGGAACACTTTAACTGTTCGCTTGTCCTCTTCAGATAACACATCTTTATGCTGGGAAACGCAAACCGTGTTTTGTCTTGCAGATACATAAATCTTCCATGGATTCCTCGCTGCAATATTGGACATTTTCAAATTGTTTCCGTTAAATGACAAAGTGAACATTTTTCCTGATTCCCATGAAGCCAACATAAGCTGTGTACCAGTGACACAAATTCCTGTGCAATATTGAAATCGTTCGTCAGTAACTTTCCACAGCGTTTGTCCATCGAAGTCTAAGCACATGATATGCGGATCGCCATTAGTTTGATCCGTGATGAAAACTCTCCTCTCTAATGATATCATGGCGATGTACGTAAATTTTGTTGTTTCATAAGATTCCTCTAAAATAATCATCCACATCCCTTCATCAGTTTCAAAAACCTGCAACTCGGAATCGGAGCACACAGCCACATATCGTCCATCAGACGTAAGCGCCTTACAAGCGATATTGGTCTTCAGTTTTTGACCGAGAAGAACGGAGCCATCCTGTAATACGTCACACCTCATGAGCTCCCGCGTGTCCGGGATAGATAACATCACTTGATCGTGTGACATTGAAATCGATACCAAGTCATATGGTGCCACATTGGTTCTTGTTACACACAAGCAGTTGAAGGAGGCGCTAAATACGGATAGAGCTCTATTCGTATGGTCAACAAGAAGCAGTTTTCCTGATGGAAGAATCCCTATCCCCGTTATCCAGGATGCCTTTCCTTGAAATGGAAGTTTGATTGTATGTACTTGTGTGTCATCCTCTTGTAAGATGTTTGTTTGATCCAAGGCTTGTGTTGTTCCCCTCTTTGTTGAATTCATCTCTATATCTTTGTATTGGTTTATCAGTTCATTGATAGCCTTCTTCATTGATGTTACTTTTGCTCGAAGCTGTTCATCTAATTTACCCATAGGTTCCGTTGTGTTGCTTTCTTTTTGCGCGACCTGTTCCAGTAAGTTGCATTGCTCGACGAGAAGATCCATGTCTTGTTTATAGGACTCATATTTCGATGCATCAGTTGATCTCGCTCTATGATCATCTCCAAACGCTTCTTCACGAGAATTGATTTTATTGCAACGTCGATGTTTTGGGAAACATAAGGAACATATGAGCTTGTTATGATCAACACATACAAATTTCAGCTCCTGTTTAGGATGGTCTGGACAGGGTTCCATAGATTTTCCACCAGTTGTGTTATAGGCATCAATCATTGTACTAACCGTGTGGTTATGCACAAGCTGATCTACCCATGCTTTCGGGTTTTGTTTTAAACGTTTGGGGACAGAGACATGACGTCGACAGATTGGACAGTCATATCCGCTTCCGGTCCGGTTCTGGGAATATTTCTCGATGATGTAATTACTTATACACTTCTTACAAAACGTATGCAAACATGGTAATGCTTTCGGTTCCTTGAAGATTTCCAGACAAATCGTACACGTAATCTGTTCCTCAGCTGTCTTTGTAATAGCAGTTGCCATGGTGACGCCTGAAAAAGTTTGCATCAATAATTTATATTTAAAATCTTAAAAACGAAACGCTATCAAAAATGACTTCAAGTGATCATTATAGTTACATCCGTTTCACCACGTAACTACTATATTTACAACTCAAAAACTAGTGTTTACGCCATTTAACGAAAGAGAGATAGAGAGAGAGGGAGAGATGTATATCATTAAACATAACCGACATGGTATGTCCTTCTGATATGATACTATCGTGATCCAACTATTAAACTTACGGTGAATTTATGTTTGAGTACCTTTCAATATAAGAAACCAAATCTACACAACATTCCTAGTCTATACACAGAGCGGAAGCGTGCAGATTTGTAACACTGACACATTTGCTAGCCTACAAAAAGCGTCTCTAATGACAAACTATTTTGAACTCGTATTTCAATAATAACCCTCCCACTAATCTCTGTCTCGTTTGATTTGGTTTCCACTGGTATCATTAATTCGTGTTTATCATATGATTTACAGAGCTGACTTGAATCCTACTTAACTGGTAGCTATTACCTGACGTTCATATCTTCACTTGCCAGCCTATATATCAACCTGTGAATTGGGACACTTTTATGTAGATAAAGTTGATATACATTATTCATCTGAACTAAGGTTTCGTTTTGAAGGGGGAAGGTTCTTAAGGTGAGCCGTATGTTTTAGTTCTTATGTTTGCTAAAGGTAATTTGTACCAAAAACGATAAAAACGAAATGATGAAAAGATCATGAATATATTTTTATCATATTTTCATAGGAAACCATTTTGATCTAATTTGAAATTAGTATAACTGGTGTTTGTTGTGATCCCGAATCAGACATGCAATTCGTTCCATTATAGACTTCCTTCCATCATTTATATTTTGTTCCGAATATTAATTTCGAAACGACTTTCATTTGCTAAGTGCTACATCTTTAAATCATTATACCGAGAGAATTATATGTAATTTCATGTTTTAAATTGATGTTTAATAAATTCTTGATTTTAAGGAGTATTGTTATTTACCAAATACTTTTAATAAACCAAAGATTGGTCAAATGAACCTTTCTAGCTTACATTTCAGCCACCCCGAGGAATATTAATGTGCCTTACTTCAACGTATGAAAGAAAACGTTAAATAGGTACTCTTTTAAATCACATTTTTAAAATGCCTGCCTGATATATTCGTTAAAAGCTAACGTACCATACAGATAAAATTGGCTTAGCGATAAATGTATTTTAAATAATATTTATCGCTGACGTTGCATCAACAACTGACGTTTGTTTGTCTTGTGACGACGCGATCAACCATGTGCGAATCTGGAGCCGATAAGAAGAGTTCTCGTAGCTTATATATATTAACGTTGTGATCAACGTGCAACTTTGGCTTTCATTTTGGTGCCTCTGACCAAGATATGAATCCAAATAATGCAAACCTTTATCACATGTTACGTAATCTTCATCGACATCAACAGTGTTGTGGTAGGAAGATGTATAGATAGATCTTCTGTCCAGCTCTCAGCTCACTGACAAATGTCCCGTGTCTCATGCCTTATATACAAAAATTTTCTGGTTTATCGCTGCATTTGCATATTATTTTTAGAAGATTCGCTCATCAGTCAGTTTATAACTATTAAGTCATATTCAAATCTGAAAGGTGAAGGGTTAATATTTTTGCATATCACGATTTTATATATACCTTCTGTAGGTACACAATGTCATAAGATGTACGTGCAAATAGTTGATATAGTAATAAGAGTATACTTCTTTGCTGTTAGACTGCTTTACGGGATATAGAATATAAACAAGGTTCTATTTCTTCATTAAGGGTTTTCAATCAGGAACCGGTCATCTAATATACTGCCCTTTATAATGTTCCTGACACTTTTTGCAGACACTTTTTTCAGAATTATGCATAACTGCCTTCAAAGTTTAAAACAAATTTTTCTATTTCGCATTTTTATCATAATGATTAAATATTCATATTGGTAGTCTAACAAAAATGTATATGGATCATTGAAATATATCTAATGTGACATTTTAGTGTACGTTCTTGAAAAAACAAACGTCTTTATGCATTTTGACTGTCGCCATTACTTCTAGGAATCAGAAGTTTTTTTGTTTTTTTGTTTTTTTTTTAATACTGATCTCTCCACTGAGAAGAGAATTTATTGAATTTCAACTGTTTCTATATAAGCGTGCACTTTACTATATACTTACATTGGATTAGTATAGATGAAATCGGGAAGGGCAAAAAACTCATTGCGAATATGTTTCTAGAAATCCTTGTTTCGTAGTTTTAGAGATACTTGTGTCCTCATGAATTGTAGAATATACACAAGCCTAATTCTGATAACAGCTACAGGAAGCATAATTTGACTGTGACGTCATTAGACTATAATGACATCATTTTATCACATATTTGGACATATAATAACTCCGAGTATAAAAATATCGTAGCGGCATGATTGATGATGATGGTGTTTTAGATTGTCTAAATTTTTAAGTGATTTTATCATTTCTAGTAATAACATTGTGAAAACACATGATATAAGCCCGCATGTATTATAAAGTTTGCTACTAAACTTTTCTGTTTACCGTTGGGTTGTTGCTATGCATTAATAAACAAAGTTACAAAAGTTTCGTAATATCACAATAGATACATTTTTGAAAGGTCACACATTGATTCGTATAGCCATTATGTTTGAATGTTCCAGTACACATAAATTCATACTTATACTTTCTGTATAGTTTATTTTCCACCTTAGTGCATGGACATCAGATTATCTCATAAGTGCACAGAGAATGCATGGTCGGTATTTTGAAATATGAGCTATATTTTAACGAGGGTTTATATAGAAAAATGTAGTGAGCCTCTGGCAAGCTACTTTTGTCTGCATAAAATGCGGCTTATATTTTAAGATATTGACCCTATATTATATTTATCCTTCAATAATGATTGACATTTCGCACTATCGAAACGTCACCAGTTTGTCGTGCAATCTTTGTTTTCTCCAATGTTATCGTTACTCTGAAATTTGCCTGAGGACATTCGCCAAAATAATTGCTCAAAACGGATTTATAATTTCAAACTTTAACGGATATAATAGTAGTTTTATGAATTTTCGTACATAAGTGTGTTCTTTACAACCTATGTACTTTCTATCTCAAAAGACCTATTGTTGTTGTAACGTTTCTTCTTATCATTATAAATCTTTCGAAATTGGTGAAGTCAAAATATTTTAATCAGTAGGAGATAGGTTAATAGTCTATTTGATACTTTGTAGGTACGTATATGAAGATGTACGTGTAACATTTTATGTAGGTCATAAATCCAATACGGCCGAAATGACATCATATGTTAAAAACTTTAAAATAGCAGTGTCTGGGAAATCGTTGATTGTACAGAGTTCTTGAGATATGATATTTGTAGATAATTCCAATATCTAACTTTTCCCTCGCTGTCGGGTCAAAGGCCACATATTTTCATTTTTGTTTCTTTAGAAAAAAAATTGTTTATAAATCAATAGAGAATGTCATTGATCTATCGGTTTTCTGTTTTATGAAACAAACTTCAAAGAGATGTTTGTTAATATAAATGACATTGATTCAGTATTTTGTCACAGAGGTCAATTATATCAAAATCTTTCAGTAGCATTTTTTCAATGCTTTGATAAAATGCTGTTGAATGTATCAATACAACCTTGTTTAATAATTCAACTTCCGGGTTTCGATGAGGGTAAAATTTGAAGGTTGCTTTTTTGGGTAGCCAACTTTGAAAAACTTCGACAAGGTCTTGAGCCTTGACATTTCATATGTAGGAAGCTATGTTCGTTGACTATTTAGTTTGTTAGCTTAATGACCTTAAACTATATTCAAGGTTACTGGATACCATTATTTGAATTTTTTTAAATAGCATTCTCTCAATAACAAAGACCCACGTGGCGATGAGAGTTTGTCAGTAGAATACAGTGATTAATTGCTATTGAATCGAACTTTTTTTCGAAGATTCAGCTTCCGGTTCTCTATATGTTCAAAATTGCTGTTTTTGGTAGCATCGCCTTGATATTTCATCCATAGGAAGCTCTGCTCATTGGCTAAAAATGTGTCTGAAAATTCAACTTCCGGTTTTTGATATGGATCAAAGTTGAAAATTGCCATTTTTGGTTACGAACTTTGGAAAACTTCTTCTCAAGTTCCACAAGGTCAAAAATCTTGATATTACACATGTAAAATGTTTCAGTCTTTAATTAAAAGGTTGTTTATATGAATGAACTTGATCCGCTTTCAAGGTCACAAGGGTCTATTCTGTCAAAATCTTCAGATGGCTTCATTTCTAAAACTGTGAAGTACAAGGTGATGATGCTTGATCGTTTGCATGTTGTGTACGATTGTTATTGATAGTAGTAAGAAAATATTGTGTCAAATGTCAGCTTCCGGTTTTAGGACGGGTTGACATTCAGGGAAGTTCGTTTTTTGCGTAATACAAATAAATAATCTGAAGTCGTACAGTCTAGAGTCAAGATGTGAAATATATACATTGCTCGAACGGTTAGCTATCATAATTGTGGAAATGACTGACCTTTAGATAAAATGTTTTGTAGAGGAGGCGTCAAATTGTTGGCCTACAATTTCCAGTTTATATATGTTTTTAACACAAGTTCAAATTAAGAAAGCAATTCTGTCGAATTAGAACACGTGCTAAAATAATCTCTTATCCGACACAGCTGAATACAGAAAAATATATTTTTTCTCATTTGGGGTGCATGACTTTACTTTATCAGATAAACCGATATTTACATGGCGGGTATCATCGATAACGCTAAAACATTTGCCAGTCTCCAAAACACATTCTTACTATCCTTGTGCTTTTCAGTTATCCACACTTTGTCCTCTGAAATTGAAGATTCTTATGATACGTCGTTATTTGCTTTGTCGTTTTTTTTTTTTTTTTTTTGAGGAAAAATGTCATCAATCTTGTGTCGTATGCATAATGCTT